GTAAACAAGAGAGGAGGCATATAGGGGGAGATGAACTATGCGCAGCTCTATGATGGCTATGCAGAACGTGCGAGGACACACAGCATGCAGTTTCAGGAGGATTCCTCTTCGCCAGGCCTTCCAAATGACTATTCCATTGCGGGCTGCGCAGCAGAAACGATTCCAAAACAGAACTGTTCTCGCAGTCTTCATAGATCAGTCCAGTCCTAACTCTAGGAGACATGCATTGATGGGATCCGAAAAGGGGACCACAATCCTTGGGGAGGCTTCAACTCTTAGAGCGGTACCTGCCACGATGACGGTTCCCTGCCCCGGGGCTTCGTCACCCAGGACCTCTGGCAGTTCAAGTTCAGGGCACTTGGAGACCATGCTTTCGAAGAGTACAGCGCGATCAGGACGTGAAGCGCTTGTAACTGCTGGCTCTGACAGTCTCTCAAATTCCGGGGCTGCGTGGGATTTATAAGCAGCTTGATAAGTGTAAAGACTGCTGGAGGGGTCCGGGGCGGGCACGGCGGGTTGTTGAAGGAGAAGCTCCAAAGCGTTGCCACAACCTCAGCAAGCACAGCTCAAACTGGACTCTTTGTCAGAATGGCAAAGGCACCAATGATGGCGAATCCCACTATGTGACTATGTGCATGTGGTCCTTTAATAGGTCCTGCCGCAAATGCTCCATGTGATTTGCCTTGGACTCGCTATGTGGGCCTTATCTGATTACTAGGGATTCTTTTCTGGGGTCTTTTTAAGGAGTATATACGAGACCACATCAGGGGACACTACTTTTGGGGAATTGCCATCTTGGAACACAACTCAGATGTGTTGTCCACAAGAACCCTGTCAGGCAACTTAAGGATGCTGGTATTCTCCACGGCCATTGCCATATGAACGTGTACTTTGGCTGCGAAATAAAAAAACATCCTGCTTATGACCCTGCTGACAACTGCAAGTCAGCCGATCTCAGTGAAGCGCTGGCGGCGCGTTGTCAAGGTTCAGAAGCTCCTGGATGAAAGAACATGCCTGGGACTACCAAATCTGACATCCACGCAAATGCCTAACCATCCTTAACCATCCTTCTGACTAGTACCAAGGCATGAAATGTCCATCAGTCCATCATTGTCACGAAAAAAAATCTAGGACTCGGATTCAGGCTGCTACGTGGGATAACTACTGATTGGTACCAGTACAAAGCCGAAGGTCACTGAAGATGCCTGCCCACCTTCAGTCTTGAATGCCCGTCCCATCCCTCCGCTTCAGTTGTGAATGACGGCTTGCCATGTTTGATGAAAGCTCGAAATCAAAACATCGCAGACCGACCTTTTGCCACAGCAGCAGGGAGGCCGGACGAGTACTCAGTGCTGAGCGGCTCTTTCGCAAGGAAGCCCGGCCCGGCAGCAACAAGAGTTAGCCACACAGGTTCTTCTTTGGATACCACTGCAGGTAGAAAATTCAGAAAAGAGGGTTGAAAGTACGTACCTGGGGTGGGAATCCAAAGCCCGGGATCTGCCCAACCATTCTTTTCAAAGGCATCCCTGCAAGGTTCCGCGTGCAAGTTTAATTCAGTCCTTGCACGATTGAAAACCCTCCCTTGCCATTTTCTCATAACTTTTCACGGCTGGCCTTGGGGTCACCAACATCCCACCAAGGCAGGAAGATGGCGGCGAAGATAAGCGCACTGCCCACCAAGGCCAGAAGTCCTGTAGGCTACAAGTGAAGGTCTAAAGACTATGGGAGTGGGCGAACATGTGAATTAGTCAGCCTGAAGGTAGGCTAGAGGAGGCTGTTGGTTTTCAGATACCTAGAAATTCTGCAAGCCATGTGATGTTTCAGCAGGTATCTAAGGCTTGCAGGTGGAGAGCCCCCGCACCAAAGATATGTTAGGGCTGGAAGTGATTCGAGTATGCCGTGGCATGTTCCGCCACTGGTGCCTTTCAAACATGTTGCAGGCCTCCTGGCAATGTGAGCCATCAGTGGACGTGCCTGAAGAACCCTCAACATTCTGCTCCGCTGCAACAACTGGCCATCATCACTTTCCTCTGTGCTCACTCAGGCATCCTTTTATGCGTGAAGAAAGCAACTCTGCAGAGCTTAGGAATGCCGCCTCCACACCCTGAGTAATTAAGCAGTCCTGATGCGAAGCTTCCGCACCTGCCAGACCCTATGTTGCTAGATAGCCTCGTGGCAGAAGGATTAACTAGTAATACGCTGTTCAAGTACGCACGATAAGGACCAGCACAATTGCAAGGAGAAACACAGACTGCGCGCCAAGTAGAAGCAGTAGATGCTGAACCGAACCCAAGGCTCCGAGACTGGGCTGAGGAAGAAATACGACATTCTTGCAGAACATCAGAATACTGTCTTCTTCTTGAGCAGACCCCCCCCCAACAATGTTGGGACATATCTTGCAGGCCCTGACAGTTCTTCTCCTATGTATAATCCCAGACTTGATTATTAGCCATATAAACTACATGGCCTCCAATTGTACATGCGTCGGGAAATTACCTATTGTTCGGATCTACAGAATTCCGACCTTCGCAGAACCTCCGACAATCCAAGGCCGACAATCACTTAATTGACCTACATAGCAACAGTAAGTGCTTGGTTGGTACGCCATGCCTGCATGGAGCGATTCGTGATAAGCCTCAAGTCGTGCATTCCTACCAGTAGTTGTGATTCTCCTTTACCTTCAGGAATGCAGGCCTGAATCCCCAACTCCCGAACCCGTAACAACCACCCTCGACCCAGCCCTTTGCCCGCCCCAGCCCAGCCTGATGCGCTCTTTGTTTATATACATGGCACATGCATTCTAGCGTAGCTGCACTGCAGCACCATTTACTGGGAGTGTATGGCCATCTGTTTAATTCCCCCAGAGGACATTGCGGCTAAAGCTCAAGGATTGCCACGAGGTCTGAGTCACGTTCTGCTAAGCTCCGTCCAATGAGGTGTGGCTAGCCGCACGCCGTTAAGATTATGCTCGGCTTTTTGGTGTGTCAGCTAACTTACACCAGCCACATACCCCGAACCCTTTCAGGGTCGAGGACTGGCTTGAGCACCCAAACGTTGGCGAGTTTGGCAGCGACATCTTGAAGCTTCCAAGTTTGCCAGAAAGGCTGGACAAAGCTGCAGCGGACACACAAATATGAGAGCTCAACTGATAAATACTGGAAGCCATTCACTCTTTGCCAGCACGTTACTTCGTGCAATCGTGACCGGATGTTTTTTTGAAATTTTGGTTGAAGCCCCAAACATTGCACCCTATGTGACACTGGAGAAGAGCGGTGGAGCATGCTGCTGTTGATACACATGTTGAGAAACAGGTCGCCTTTTTTCCTCTGCCCAGGGCCAAGGCTCCAAGCTGCGTAGTGGAGGCGCCTTAGCGACTGAAAGCAACTGCAAACTGGCCGAGTACATACTCCATGCATCTACGAGAATTAGGTGGATCATGGCCTTCTATATCCAAAGAAGATCTCAAAGAAGATTTGTACATGCATCTGGAACAAAGCGCAGAACGGAGCCTGCTGACAAAAAAACGAGAATCAGTTGGTTTAAAGAGCAGCACTCCAAGTGACTCAACGACTCAGCACATTTCGTGCTGCCGCCGGGCTCTGGCAAACTAGAATGTCGCCAAGCAACAAAGAACGCCAACCGCCGCTGAAGCGTAGAGCCTGGCAACGGCCACGGCTCCTCGCCCTCAGTGGCAAGACTTCAGGGAATCACAACAGACATGCATCCAGGATTTTGGGAACAAACATGAGGCTTTACCGGGCTAACCAGGTTCAAAGAACCACAACTTACTATAAGAGTCCGAAAATGAAGCCTCCAGCAACCATAGCCTGATTGGTCAGTTTGTCAAGCCCACATAAATGATAACAAGGAATCCTTGTTTCGAAGCGCCGCTGTGATACAATGTATGCTCATGCCAGCAAACCCCAGCTCATTATTCCCAACCAGTAAAGGCATTCCTGGTGGCTAGACTACTGCCTTGTTTGAGCTTTCACCTGCGCGTCAGTGTGCCTTGCATACCGCTTCTTTGACGTCCGCCATGCCATCCACCATGCCACGAAAGATATTCCAGGCAGACTGTTGACAAGAGGCTTCGCCAACTCTCCAATTATTTACGTAGCGATGACAAGCCAGCATCCGGTCGCTGCACGACTTGTGCCTGGATCTAATTGTGTACCTGCCGTCTTGCACTTTCACTGACCAGCGAATACCAGTGGCAGAACAAAGCCGGTGCAGCAAAAGCTTCTCTTTACGTAACTGGTATCTTAGATGCTGAGGCCACAGTCCCGACGACGAGTCTTAAGTAGTCAATTGGTGAACCAGCTGGCTTTGACAAGCCTCCATCTAGCTGGCTCTGGCCAGAAGCACACCGCCCTGGCCATCCATGACGACTTAAACCTTTGAAGGCTCCAGGCATCAGAATCTGATATGCTCAGGGCTTCAGGACCTTTGCGGCTAGAGATTGCAACCGTCTGCAAATAATCTTAAGGTGCTCCCAAACCCTTCTTTCAGTCCCATCTCGGTGCGTACTTACACTAGCTAGACAAGATGCATGACTGCTCCTGAGGCTTGAACATCTTGCCCAAACCCCTAGATGCCGGCTACAAGTGTGGCTTGATTATCAGCATTCCATGCTCTTAAGTCTTCTTTCGTGAGCAAAGAGGACATGTGTCAAGTACAGCAAGGTCAGATTCTGTGACAGAGGCGCAGCGTGCGCTCTTCTCGTGGCTGACCCGTGCTGAAGAGCGGCCACCTTCCTTGCATTTGAAAACCTTTCGGAGTAATGGCGAACTTCTGTTCACGTCGCTTGGTTGCCAGGTGCTAAAACACGTGCCGCTCGTCTGGGCTTGCATTGGCTTTTCTAGCTGAAGTCTTCAAATCTCCGAACTTGACGAGCGCAGCCTAGCACCAAAGAGCAAACCCAAAACTGCAAAGATCTGCAAAGGTAGCTCCGTAGTCTAGGAAGGTAGCGCCCTCAGATCGGCATCTGCGCAAGCACTTCATCAGCCAGCACCTGAGTGGAATGTCAGCCCCCTTGACCGGCACGGAATTGCTATGAGAGGCTATCGAGGCGATAATAATCACGAGGCCCGAATTCTAATTTGTGTTCTACCATCCACAACACTGATGCCCCGATCCTGATTCTTCAAGCACCCATGTTGCCCAATCATTGTCTAGAACATTTGTCTTCCAAGGCAGGCGCACGAGCTCCGTCTCTGTGCACCGAGATCAAAGGAGACCTCGCGCCCCAGGCTCAAAGCACCACAGTTGGATCGATAAAAACACCCTGCAGCCGGCAACAAGGACTAGGTTGAGCATTGTTCCTGTATCTGCTCCTACATTACATCTTCTCACAGGCTTTCTCCAGCAGGATGTTTCTTCTGACCATCAGGTGTTCAAGCATTGAAAAGAGGCCCGCCTAACTTAAACCCGAACCGTTGAAAGGCACTGTCCCGCTGCCTTCTTCGCCATCTTTGTCGGCTGAGTCGGCTGGCTTGCGAGGCCGCCCTGTGATTCTTGCCAAGGATAGGTATCACTGCTGGAGTCCGTGTGCATCCGGATGTTCGTGCTTAAGGGCAACAAGTTCTTTGCTGAAGGATTCCAGCCTGATCAAAGCGCAGCTTCTTGCACCCTTGAGTTCAGAACTTACACGGAGGCACTCACATCCCGTCACATGCTGGAATGCCAATACCTTCCCTTACCTTCCCTTCCTCCACGTACACCCAGCCTCCTCATCCACAGCGTCCGAGGAGGAGTCGCCGTCCTTGCCACAAATTGCATATGATGATGGCGGCGCCATTGTGATCTACACCGGACCAAGTCCGCTAAGCTTGCGCCACAAGGTAACTGCAGCTTGCATCCATGTTGAAGAAGTCAACAGAGAGGTGTCCTCAACAGCCGGCAAAGAGTCAGCCTCGATCCGACGAGAGATCCGGAGGTCCTCGCGAAGGACATTACTGAGCAAGTCTGGCTCCGCTGAAGTACAAAACTGAGATGAACCCATCCGGCTGCGTCTGGTATTGCGCAAGTGCTCTTATAACCCCTTAAAGCTGTTACAGGCACACAACAATCATCAGTTCTGAGACCTGGGAAGCTTGGATAGCTGCAATCGACCCCCGAGATGCAGATCATGAGCACCGCACTCTGGGGTCTTTGCTGAGGGTACTTAACCTGTCCGCAAAACCTTGATCTTACCGAACCCTATGCCAACTACTTCACGAGCTCTCTGATTTCATTTGGAAGCCATAACTGAACACCTCCTTGATATCAAGCAAACCGGTGTCATATCTGGTGTCATGTTTGGACCAGCCTGAAGCTTACGCGAAAAACAGTAGCTGCGAGGAACCCCTTCCACCCGGCTCTCACAAAAACCGCCCAACTCAAAGAATGATCTTTTCCATCCCAAATGCCCAGAAGCCAAGCCTTCGGATAGGTCAGGTGCAAGAAACCTGCCAACGCTGGCGCTTTGGATTTTCAGTTTCAAAGTTCTGCACAGGAAGTTTGAAATTTGATTTTGGCTGACCTGGCGGTTGCCTCCTTGGTTTGAAGGCTGGTGTAGCAGCATGGCTAACCTCCTAGGTCCTAGGTTTAAGGAGTTGCTTCGGCCAGAACTGGGGTACAACCGCATGTCTTGAATAGGTAAAACCGCTGGAGTTAGAGCAGCTGATTTGCAGACGCTAAACTGGGACAAGGGTGTACTCCGAGAAAGTCTACTCCTAGTCTATATTCGATTTCATTTTACTTTCAAGTCTGATCTGATCACTTATTACTTATCAATCTGTAGGCTCCGTGTCCTTTCATTTTCCAAGAACTGGTTAGCGTTCGGCGTGAAGGCCGTGCTGCAGGGCTAGAAAAAGACGTAGCACGTTGAGGAGGCTATTGCAAAGTGGACCGGGATGCTGCAACTCCGTTCCTCGCTGCTCTTTTCTGATACTTGCACTTTGTCATCCTTCCGGACTTCACTCCCACTTTCAAAAACTACAGGAAGGCTCCAGTCACAAAACACTATACTCTCCCTTCACAGGTACAATATCTGAAAAGCACAGGCCATTGCATCCCGGGCTACTGAAGACGATGAGCGCCAGCAGGGAGCCAGTAAGCGTGACCCATGCAATGGAGTGACCCAATGCCTTGCGGTGCGCGGAGATCACACCCAATCAGTTGCGACTGTTTCTGACTTGTCAGCATGACCTCTGCTGCCGCTGCTGCTGCAGCAGACGACGACTTCACCAGGGTCAAAATGTGGAGGCATTGATTGCTTAGCTTGGAAAGTTGCTTGAGGCACGGGAATGGCATCAAGAAGTGTTGGGGGCGCCGCGCTTCACGCTGCCGTTGTCTAGCAATTAGATCTTGTGGGAGCTTCAAGCCGAGGACTCTTTGGGGGGGCCCTCTTTTCGATGCCAAAAACATCTTGAATCCCTGAGCATCCATCCCTGGCCCCTGAGCTGTAGGGCATTTTGCACCTTAGACTTGACTTGTCAAGCAAGGCACCTGCGCGTTGCCCTGCCGCAAATCCACCGGCATGTCTTTGATCGGCAGCGTGGTGCTGGCGAGATAGCAGGCTGCGTCAGTACGGCTGCTGTTCTTTTAAGCCTGCCTACAAATACAGGAATGATGCTGCCCTGGCTTTTTGGGAAGGGCACTTTAGATCGAAGCGGTGAGCTTTGAGATTCGTTCTAGGTTCAGCGTATTTCTGCATGGCCGATTTGCTTTTTCTGATGCAAGCCTGAGTGCCTTTCCGTCGGATCATGCCATCCTGCCTGATCCTGTCTCATTCATCCTCCACTCGCGAGACGCTTTGCCCGTGAAGGGCATCTACCGCTGTATGGCTGTCGCCAGTACAATTCCTAGGTCTTCCAGCTTGATCAAACGTTCCCACTGTTTCTACCCTTGCTGGCGCGCCTCTTGTAGTGAAAAAAGTGCTGAGTGATGAAGCCCACCACTGGTGTGCTGGCCTTGGAGCACAACAAAAAACCCAAGTCGCTGGGGAGCGTCAGAACCTTTGCGTTGACAGTGGCAGAAAACGCAATCGCATGAAATCCCCCAACGAAGGGCCCCGCTTCACATAGCACCTGCAGCTGTGGCACTATTGATGCGAACCCGCCGTCGATCGCCGCGGCAAGAGCAATGACCTGCACCAATCAATCGCGAGCGCGCAGCCGCCAAGCTAAAAGGGCTTCCGCAGCGCTACCGCCCCCAGAGTGTCTGTGCAAAATGTGGGGGATTCCTGAAAGCATGCCATGGACGACGATAGACATGTTGCACCCTAAAATGACTTTGCCAGGAGCACCTGCGCAATCATCTGTGCCGGGACGATTTCCGCGAACAGCGGCTTCACCACCTTGCATAGGCTCATAAGCTCAAGGTGCTGAAAGCCTGATTCCTTTGTCCAGACAGGTTTCCGGAAGTACGGACTATCACTACCATTACCAGTTGTTATACCACTTATCAAACGCAATGCGCTAACGGAGCCCATACCAAAAACCGCAACCTCATGGTCATTGCTGCCCCTAGGACGACAACCTCGAATGAGGGTATCGTCTCGTGGATGGGAGCCTTGTCAATTCAAACTTTGCTAAGGAGACTGGACTATCACCCCAAAGTTGACGCTTTGGCCCATTGTATGCACACGACGCACCTGTCGCAGAGTCAATACAACTCTGGAGAACCGGATACAAGTGAAGGCCTCATAGTCAAAGGGCGAACCCACCAAAGGAAAAGAAACAAGAGGTCAGATTTAAATGAAATTTGACGAAGGGAGGCGGCATTATCATGACAAACATCATGAGATCAACACATATAGGGCGCTGCAATAATAATGTAAATACAACAAAACATCCCGGTTGAGAGGAACCCTGAGACATGCTGAATGTGTGAAGATAAGTCTTCGGCTGCGGAATAGGCCATGATCGAAAAGAAGCCGAACAAGAAGCTCAAGATTGTCCTTCGCAGATTGCGGCTGCGGAGTTAGAGTTGTATGAAGAGCTCCGGATGTTTCGGGGCGTGTTGCGCTCTCGGAATTCAGTGTTTGGAGGTGCTTTCTGACTCAGCGCATGGGGTTCACACACATTGCGCGGTGTATCTCCCGATGTGCCTTTGCTGAAACCTTCTGCTGAAGGCGAAAAAAAAAAGGCGCCAGGCAATCGCTCCGGGGGCTCCTGTAGCCACCTAGAAGCTTTACAAGGTCTGCTCACACCCTACGACCCGGGTATGGTATTTTGAAGAAAGAGCCTGGCAAAAGCAACTCCAACAACCCTTGCCCCTCAGGCGGAAGGGCTGCATCTTGTCTGTCTCTACGGATCTGTTGGGCCCTAAGCCCTGCCTTGTGACAAAGATGTTTGGAGCATCTGGCCTGCCAATGACAATAGGGCCGTGTGCACAACCGAAATTCGAGCGGCGAGCTCAAGGGGGAATTGAGAGGAACTCACAAATAAACAAGGAGAGCTGCCTAGCATACTTTTCTTGGAATGATTGCAGAACCTGAATGTTTGGGATCCCGTTGGCACTGCTTGGCAGCACTTCAAAGAAGCGGCTTGCCGCGTAGCACATCACGAAATATCGATGGCTAGACTGAAGGGGACTTTGCTACAGTACGCTCATACATGCTGGGCCTGGGCGTGTCGCTGAGAACCTTGGCTGTCTCAGGCAGGGGGCAGGATCTTCGAAACATTGCCTGTTTGGACCTCCAATGCACTCAGCAACACAGGTTCTCCGGAACAATGCCTGTCCTGCAGAAAGGAAACTTCCTGCATCACCAGAATTCAAACATGTGCAAGTGTGTTCTTTTTACAAAATGCCTGTGGCGAGTTTCAGTTGGGGGCAAAACGAGAAGGCAGCCCACGGAAATTGCACATGCCAGGAATATCCTGACACCTTGTTCGCTATCGATGCGGCATGCACTTGCTGCTGCACAGACCTCAAAGCTTGAGCTGATCCTGGGCTTGGGGATCTGCGTTGTGAGGCTTGCTGCTGGCAAGGGGCGAATGTGTAGAGAAGGACAATTGTCTTGATGAAGTCAGTCAGCTGTCCATATGTGATGCGGCCATGCCTGGTAATAAAGACGGCGCTGGGAACCTTTGATTCAACCCATGAAGTAGGACTGGGAATCCTGTGGAGGAATACGGAGGCTGGGGCAGCAACGGGTTGTGGGACCGAGGGTCTAAACCCATGGCTTTCCGGCTATAGCAATGGTACCAATGTGCTGAGTGAGATGTACAACCACAACAATACCAGACCCTGTGAGCCGCAACAATCTTTAAGCTTTGATCAATCGAAGCCCAAGACTAGGAAGTGTCTAGGTCACTGTGCAACCGGATGGGGGTTATCGCAACCAGAACAGGAGTACTGTAAATACAAATATAACAAACCAAGAATGTCAACTCATAATTGCTCCCTTAGGCATATGAAACCAATCAGAACATACGTTTGGTTGTGATATCCACAATCTACGCCACTGCTTCATAAACATGAGGTTCTGGATTTTGGAGGACTTTCAATGTAAAATGAGATCTACTACGTGTAAGACACTATCTAACTATACAAACCTAGAAGGGCAACACTGGTAAGAGTGTAAACGTATGTAACGAGGCCTTCTTTTTTGTTCGCATATTGATGTCCAGAACACACCGGTCTGTAGCAATAAACCTTCAAGATGCCAAAGCCCATTTTCCTTTCCTGATATCTCGGAATATTCCCCTCAGAGATCCAACAGTATGCAATCACGTTACCGAGCAACAGCCAATCTCACCGGGCAGTCAGGAGAAGGCCTGAAACCTACTACATGGGCTTCAAGAAGTCATTGGAGGGTACTCGAAACTATAAGTCATATTTCATTATACAAGGAACCCAGGACCAAAAGATCGGTGGTTATTGGACATTGAGTGTCATTCTATCCCAAATACTGATCCATCCACAACCTGCATCTGGGGGAAAGCGAATGCGTATTGCACTGCTCCATAACATGTTTATTTCAGCGAGCGCGTATTAATTGTACAGCTCCATAACAAAAGCTAACGCATATTGATCCCATATCCACGCCTACAACTACTTGTCTCCGAGGCCCAAAGCCAACCGGTACATTGTCTTCCTCATGCACCTACAACACATCAGGAGAAAATAAGGGCATCCGATTGGAAGCCCAAATGACTCAAGTTGCCGATAAAGAAATAGCATGAAAACATCCTATTGGAAGCCCAAACAGAATCCGGTTGCAGTATCCCGCATCTGTGGCTGCAGTGATGTTATCAACCTTACTAGTTGTGGTATTCACTATTTGGCTCTCTCAATTGTACCAACCACTGACTTGTTTGTGGTATCCACCGACGGGTTGTAGCATCCCTTCATCTCCAAGGCTGGCTCCCAAAAAACAAAGCAACAACAACCAGACATGCCGTGGACACTCCAACCTCTTCAGGGCCTGAAGCCCAGTGAACCTTTACTTGAGTGCCTTGGGTAGTGCTTGGCCATCCAGTCGGAAATAAAGCCACCAGTGATCGACCCGAAGATGCTCCCAAACGGGGCCTTTGGCCGCAGGCAGCAGCAGGGTTTCTGCGTTTGAGTTGAGGGTTTAAGGAATGCGTTCTTCAGGCTTGCTGGTTTGGTTATCTGTGGGTGTTCTGGCTTTGAGGTTGTGGAATTCCAGGAGCTGTGTATGTAGGGCTTCTAGGTTTACAGTGAACGTGCACAGTTCTTCTGGAACACAAATTGGCAGCTTCTGAAATTGCCTTATACCAAGACTCAGTGAAGACAACCGTGGAATTCTCAAGGGTTTGGGTTCAGGCATCCGGGCGGTGCTTGCTTGGCCTACCCATTTCGGTGCCAGCAAAGCCAGGAAGCAACGAATCGGAGCTAAAGTAAGAAAGTGCCCTCATCAAAATGCACACCAAGCTTCGGCACATGCGATACTGGAGGCCACCAGGTCGCTAAAGCCCAAATACCTTGGCTCTGCAATGTATGACTCCATCTTGTTGTTGCGGGCCATCACGGGCTGGAAGCCTGATTCGATGCTGTCGAACCTCTCTACCCCTCCTTCCAAACAGCCAGGTGCACATGGTGTCGTAGCAGGAGAAGAGCCGGAATGTAGAAGCTGTGCTCTATTTCTGGAACCTAAATATTCTGGACCTAGAATGTGCCGAGGGTCTGGTACCACATGATCTGGTACTGCATTGCCTCGCAGTGGCCATACAGCCAGACAAGCCAACGCGCAAAGAAAACAGCAAGATCATAAGGACAACTATGTATGAGGTTTTTGTATGACCCAAAATACTTGAATCCTGGTAGAGACCTCTGAACAGCATTGCTGCCATGGTGGCAACGGCTGTCAGAATTGACGATTCAGGGCCTCGAATTGAACAAGTATGGCCTCAGATAGTCTGAGAGATTCTTCGAAACAAGATGAGATGCGGTGAGCAGCATCAAGAGGAGGAGGAAGGGGAGGAGGACACTAGGAAGACATTGACCTGGACATCCTAACCCGCTCCACGCGCTCCTGCGACGCAAGCCCGGAGCCGACGCTAGTGTGGCGGTTACATTCCCGACACAGCACTTCTGTGAGCCGCACACACCTGCTCCTCCAAAGTGTGCAGAGGGGGGATGGGGGTGAGCTGAATGACTCAAAGCCGCATGCAGATCAAAAAGCCCCATTCCAACGGTAGCAAAAAGCGGGAGCAAGCAGCCACCTTTGGCATGAGAAGTACAATACTGTTCATGCTGTGACTACAACCAATTGCCAGTGCTTGTTCGACTGCTGCGGCAAGGCACTGTGGAGAGTTTAGCTTAGGGCCGTTTTCCGGTTCTCAATTCTTCGTTTGCCAGTGGCAATCGCAGCTTGGATCTTTGCCTAGGTTGTGCCAGTGGATAGAATTCCGATCAGAGGCAACGGAACTTCGTGCTGAGCGTTAATAAGTGTGCCCGGCGGTGATTCAAGTCAAGAATATAGGAGGTGCCCTGTAAACTCAGCAACCAAAGCATTCCAGTCAGATTACAGGTACAAGCCATGGCCGTACTTCGATTTCCTGGACCCTCAAGACGAAAAGACCTGCTCAAACTCTGATTTCCGGCAATAATTGCCCACAACCCCTCCGCTGTGGAAGATGATGATCCTTATCTAAAATTCCTGCTAGGTTTTACAACTGCGCAGTGCACACCATGACTGCCACCCACATGGCTTTGGACACAAGCTTCCTGCCCAGCGAGCCTTCACTGTGGTGCTGGCGAAGGCGCCCTGCACAATCCTGGGCCATCGCACTCTAATTAGTCCAATCTGAAGGTAGTCGGCACTCTCAGGCTTCCAACTATAAAGGCTTCTGTTAAGCCATCTCGATGCATTAATGAACTTGCGTCCACTCTTCAGGGCTCCTTCCAAAAAAGACCATAAGGCAGCCAAGGCCTTCGCCATTTGAGTGTGAAGGATTTGCCGCGCGACTCCCTACTAAGAGTCGTATTGTTGTTGCACTTTCAGCAATGACCACAATGTAGTACCTATTCTGCACAACCCTTTAGCACACCCTCCGGCAGAGGCACAGCACCCAAAAGGATGAGCGCCGAAGCATGAACAGGAAGTCCTGCAAGAAAGCGTTTGGCGCACATTCGCGCAACGTGGAACTTGTTCTGCAAGCTCTTCGTTCGGTTCAGAACGGCAAAGACTCTCCAGGTCAAAGGCTGGTTTTGGAAAGATCCACAGTAGAGAACCCTTCACTGCCTGGGACCCATACGGGAACAGGAAGCCAAAGAATTTGTGCAGCGCGGATCGCGGAAAAGAACAAACGCTGAATATGACAAGCTTTACAAAGTGGCGTGTGAAGATGTTGGCGCGCTGCAACAAGAGCGAGTAAGGCTGGTTTCGATTTCTGCTTTGACCCAAGGCTTTGGGGCCAGTTGCTCAGGTTCACGAAGCGCGCAGGCAACATCTCACAGCCATGCTTCCCAACAACAAGATGCATTTGGCGAAGGAGCTGGGCAAACTTTCCAGCCCCTACCATCTGAGGCTGTCCTTCCAGATATCATGCAGCGGCTGTCCGGAAGGGGTGCCCTGGAGCAGAAAGACAGCAGGAAGTCTGAGAAATGTGAGTCATATTCTGTCACTTATTACGGACTACTGCCAACAACAATACTGCTTCTTTCCACTTCAGGCTTGCGCACAAAGAGACCTACCAGAAGCAGGCTAACGCTCCTTTTGTGTCTAACCCAAGGCCGTGCGTTCAAGTTGAAGGCTTTTAGAATGTAGAAGTAGCGCTTGAAACCGCCTGCCGCTCTGGAACCCCAACCTTCAAGTTTCTACGCAAACCTGAAAGCTCAAGACCTGATCCCCAAGTCAGGCAGCAACATAAGATATCGGCTATCAGCAGAATTCCACAATCTGGACTCCCAAGAGCAAAATGTGCAGCCTCCGCGTGTGTGTTACCCGTTTGTTGTGCAGTGCTGTTGTCATTGCAGGTTGGCGCCTTCGGTTTGATGTGACCCTTCGTTCTGCGGGATTTTAGCGCACAAGGTCGCCAACCCAATCAGCCCTGCAACAGGGGATCACATGGGCGCATGAATTCCACCACACTCCACACGAACCCTCCACACAATCTTGACAGTCCCTAGAGCCCCTCCCCATACCCTTGGCAACAATGTACTGACAACAGTTGAGCTGTTCGGCGGCCTTCGCAGATCCCCCCCTAATCACTAGCCAAAACCTCGCATCCGGACAAGCGAAATGGTGCCTGCTTCTTCGCTGCACTCAGCTGGGCCCACGTGCGAGACTCTTGGAAGAGCCCTCGCCTTAACTTGGTCAGGAGGCAAAAGAATGTAGGGCCTACATTGACATATTTCCTTGCGGAGACTCCGTATCATGAGGACCGTAAAACGTTTCATATCAGGAGGGCCGGCCATGCATTCAGAAACTACCTACATGACTAGAAGAAGGGTCTAGTTTAGAAGGTATACAGGTCGTACCATGGGGAGCTTGCTGCATCCTGGGGCCTGCATAGGTTGAGTGAGTGTCAAGACCTCTCTCCAAGTAACCGCGACTGGACCCCAATCATGTTCAGGGAATGCAGCTTTACTGTTCAGGGGATGATGAAATGGTTGATGTGACCGCTTGTTGCTTGCAGGTAAAGTCCTTGTGCTGTTCTTGCTCAAAAACTGAGGGCCGTGAGATGTGCTTCGTTCCATCATGATCTTCTTGTGGGACTGGAGTGTGGGGATCAGGTTGAAAGATCTAGGAACTCAGGGCCTCTCAAGGGTTTAAGGGTGGATTACAAAGACGAAAAGACGATCTGGTACTTTTGGTGTGGAACCTCCCCTATATGCGGGTGCTGTGCTTGGAAAGTCAGGACAGCCGCTCTTAGATATCCGGCATTCATCCACACTTCACTGTGTTGAAAACGGGACAATCAAGAGAAGCTATCAGAGAAGGATCCGTAGCCTTGGCATTCCTGCAGGACCTGGCATGAACACTTGGTCACTTCCTAAGTTTCAATGCAGCTGGCTGAAGAAATCGGAGTTCAGGTGCACAAAGTTCCCTTCCCAGTCCATACCAGACTCTGGGGCTCAGGCGCTACCTCCAATCTGGCCATGGAGAGAATCCACGTCAGTAGAAGCCTCGATGGACTTTGTTACATCGTCGTCTTAATTGGCCTAGGCCAGACATGCTGCCTGAGCGCATATAAACACCAAGGGGTCAAGGGTTGTCGCAAGGAAACGGCAAAGCGACCGCGTCATCGCGTCCCTCCAGGGCCGAGCTACTCTGAACGGCAAAACCCGAAATCCGCTCGTACGCCCCAAATCCAATCCAGCAACGTCCGGACAGCCCAAGGCCCTGTAGGTCTGCATAGCATAGACACATGTTTTGGGCCTATTTCTGGGCACGAATCTGGATGTATGTGGATAAATGTTGACAAATATCCCGATGAACTGGCAGCTCTATCCAAGACGCGTGAGCAAACCGAAGATGAGGAAAGTGCCCCTCCAGCCGTGAATTACCTCCAGGTTGTTCACATCTTATTGTGGGGGCGCACGAAGAATTGCAGGCGCATGCCACTCAGCTAATCGCACGAGGCATCGTTTGGCTGCAACTCAATTTCAAGTCATGAGAACGCAAGTGGTCGCCCTTGCGTCGACCTCGTTGTGCCCAGCTCCTGCCTCCAGATAAAACTCCCAAACTGAATTGTACGGTGCTACGGTAGCTATTCCTGCAGGTTCCAATGCAAACCGATGTCGCACCAGAACGCTCCGTGGGCTTTCACATTCACAGAGGGATGTCTGCAAGGCTGTGCCTTCAAGTGGCTTGTGGCGCCAGCCAGCAACACCTCATAGCATGATTGACTTGACAGGGATTGCCCAGTCAAGACTCGTATCCTACCACATGTGCCTGCGACCTGCAAGGTTTCCCCAGGAAAATCTGTCACACTGTGCTGCGAAGAAGCATCAGACAAGCATTGGATATGGTTTCTTCCACGCTGCGGAGCTAAGACACGAAAGACGTGAAGAGGCTCAGCCCAGAACGCCAAGCATGAAGCCGCTTTGACCGCAAGCAATGAGCCAACCGAAAGCCCGGCCTCTGGTGCTGAGTTCTGATGATCGTAGTTTGGATAATTTCTGCAACTCAAGCCATGAGATGACACAAGTCACAGTCCTGAGCAAACGAAACGAAAGTGACTGTTCAAAGCTTCCCGTTTGCTGGCCTCGGTCCGGTGGCGGGCAAACAGCGCCAATCAGACCTTGCGACCTGAGAAGCTGATGAGAAAAGCTAGCTTCTGACATCCTGTGGTCCTGTGGTCCTTTGCTGACACCGAACGCTAGCCATGAATCTGACATTGAAACCTTGAGGGCGGTGCAGTGGGCCAATGGCGGCCCCGGTGATGCCTCCGACATTGAAAGAGCAGCAGACGATGCAGATCTCGAATTCATGGCCCGTTGAGGCTTTGGGGATTAGGACGGGTGGGTATTCATTGCGGAGGCGTTGCCTTACCTGTGCATGTTCTGTGTGCACATATTTTCCGAGAGGTCGATATGTGCTCATGGCGAGGTTGAGACCTGTCAAGATCACCTGGCCCAGAGCATGTCCTTCAGCTTTCAAGTTCGCGATGCCGGTTACTGTGGCTGCCTATGAGATGCTTGAGGCCAACATTTTAAAATCGCGCCTTTCTCTTCCTGTTGAAACAGGCTTTCCCAAACTGGCAGGCACCACGCACCCCCTAACTCTATATCCTTTGACCCCAGAGAAATTCCTCAAACCTCAAGCCCTGGACGACGCGCTCCCATGCCGTGCCTGCCAACGCCCGCACCACGCAGAGCACACTGACACTGGTCACGAAAGATGTCGCTGCAGTGACCAAGCCCCACGACTCAGCAGAACATGTCTCTAAACGGAAGCCAACATGTGTGCTGCTGATATCAACCAACTGCGATTTCTACAGCCACAGCAATGAAGTATACCAGCGACACTGGACAGCACCCTGAGCCGGGAGCTGTTTGCCAACCAACTCTCCACATATTGAAGAGCCATGAAGAACCCCAACAGCTCCGCTATCTTGGGAACTATAGGGGCTAGTGATCTTAGGAGTATCCTGCAAACACCCGGCACATGCAGCGCCTTCCCTGCAACTTCCAGTACAACGGCACAAGTCAAGCGAGTGGACAAAGAAGCTTAGGAGCGGGCCAACGTCCTTAGGTTGGTAGTGCATTAGACGTGGGGGCAGAGCCTAGCCGCCACTGACAGCAAAGAAACACCATTCAACGCTCAACATGCAAGTCAGGAGATGAAGCCATTCGGAAGTTATGCCATCTTGCGTCAGGCCTGCTGCTCTCTATCCCCTAGAACTCTGTAAAGGATCCCAAGAATGTGCTCAAGGCGGGGATTGTCGCACATGTCTCAATTGCACAGAACCTGGACCTTGCGGCAGTCACCCTCCTTACTGCTCTCAGCATCACTGCCCTGCGTCTAGTGCTGCCTGCAGATGAGTCAGAAACATATATGGGTGCATCAGGTTCTGCTGACGATTTTTAGAAGCAGTCATGGCGCGCATACATCAGCAGCGTTAATTTGCAGTGTCTGTCGGCCAGGACGCCCCATACCTGAGGAAGCTCTGGACAGGAGGTGGCAGACTGACTCAACTGTCTGCTGCACAAGCGCCCATTCAGCCGCCAGTGCCGGTGATAAGAACGATCAAATTCCGTCATGAAAGTTTGGTATATCGGGCGAGTCTCTTTCTCAAGACATGTGGCAAACAAGGACAATTGAGGGTCTGGCCATATCCAGCAAGTGGTATGACAGTCTGCCAGTGCGCCAGAATTCTGTGGACCACGTTTGCAGTCAGATCCCTTCTTTTCATAGTCGAATTGGCAGCTTTGACATCGAACTGGAAGTGTAAACAGACCCTGCAGAGCATAGCTAGTTACTCCTGCTCCAACTCCTGAGTGAGGGAAGCCCTGCTTCGCATGTATGAAATCAATCCAAGGAACAAGGACAGCGAAGCTATGGCAAAGAGCTTCAATGAAAACGATGCCGCCCAGCGACACCTCAATGGGATCTCTCTTTACATTGCAGTGACGGACCTACTAAATGTGCTGATGCTTCGTACTCAGGAAATGTCAGTGGGCTGTCCAGCAGAATGGGGAACATGCGCAGGAATACCTGGCATGGTGCTACGCCAAAGCTGCCAAGTTCTTCTGGCGTCCAAGAGAGGGTTCCAGCACGGTATTGGTGCAGAAACCAAAAACGAACGCGCTGGCGGGAGGCACAGGGCTCAGTCCAGCAAGCAGCCTGAATTGGCTGTAATTCAGTCCCCGGTAATGGTACCAGAAAAAGCTTCCAACGAATCAAGAAGCTCCATCGATTCTGAGAGCAGGGTCTGCAACTTTTGCGCACCCGGCTTGGAGAGACGTCAACCCGACCCAAATAGACTTCAGGCCCCTTTAGGGCAGAGCTTACAATGACCGATTCGGGAACACACCTCGCTTTGCAGGAACCGAGCAGATCCTGATGCTCATACACCCGCTCATTGGGAAGGCTTGGTTTTCAAACATGGGCAAGGCTACCGTTGTTGGTTATCGCTGCTTTCTATGACTGATTTGACGACTTCTTATCCCTCTTTCGTGGTCCTGGAGCGCTAGAGCAGACATTGATGCCATCCCTTAAGACGTTGTGGCTCGGTGCTCTTTGTATCCATGAGATACCTTGTTAAGCTGAGATTTGGAGGCTCCTCAACAGTAGCCTTCAATTCGCATATGTCGGTTCTGTAGAGTCAGCATCAAAATGCCAACTTGTCTTTATCACCTCAATTCCACGCGAGTTGTTTTCATAATAATAAAGCCCTGCCAGGTTGCCGGGGTTGCGTCTTGCAGTCCCTCCTCCAGTGCCTGCCAAATCTGGCAGGCAGGGCTTGTTGCGTAACATGGGGTTGTAAGATGAAAGAGGGCAGCAACCATGGAAGGCCCCTGTGGTCCTGTGGCTGGCTTCAAGGTTCAGAGTTTGGATATGGCTGAATGCGGTTGCAGGGCTGAGGGGTAAAGGTTGGAGGCTTGAGATTTAGCATATGAGGGCTTGGGCGGCACGCGCTTAACGATTCAGACCTTCAGGGATCCAGGTCAAAATCCTTGAATTCACGCAGGGCCTACCGCTACATCCCAACTGGGAAAATTTCCGCGCGAGCAAATCCGTTCATTCTGCACCCTACTTCCTACACTCCCCCCCAAAAAAAGTCCAGCACCCTTCCTGAACGGCCCAGCCGTTAGCCTATCCAAACACCACAACTTCAAGAGCATACAACTTGAAACCCCAAGGTAAATGACACTCTTCCAGCCTAGATGACCCTCCGGCACCTTGAAAATGCCGGGAAGCATGGCTCCATCAGCTGCATGGAGCAAAAACACGACGGCCAAGAGGCCCTGCACAACACAAGCTACGTAAGCAAAAGTCACTGCCACGACCACGACAACAAAGAGGACCAGGACGGAGGAGAATGATGGAAACGTGTAGAAAGAGGAAAGGAAAAGGAGAGCGAGGAATGGAGCCAGCTCCACAAGGGAGAGGGTGGGAGGGTGGGAGGGTGGGAAAAAGCGAGCTGATGCTAAGTGCGCATGGGAATTTAGCTTATAGAATTTCGAGCGGCTCAGGTCGAGGAGCAGCAGTTTTGGAGTCATTGATTTGAGAAGGCTTCAAGTCTGCCTGAATTCTGGAGTGTTGACTGGGGGCGAGTCAGGCTCAAGCGTGAGCAACGCCTTTGTTCATGATTCGGACAAACTGCCCCTGAAATGGTAGTGTGGCCAGCAAGTTGCAGCACAGCGGCCAAGAAAAGCAGGCGCAGCCATTTCTGGCAAAAAAAGTGTTCAGCCACAGCAGCTTCCTCTGGGGTTGCCCCAACAAACCTCTCTGACTGAGTCGCAGCCCTGACAAACTTAATCAAATCGTCGCAAAGGCACTGTCTGCGAGCTGCACCCTCAGGGAGACTAGCAAGTTTGAGTGTGTAAGAAGTGCTCTCTTCGGAGGGTCCTTGTAAAAGCTTGTTGCGATATTCAGGCTTTTGCTGTCACTGTGCCTGCAGTAGCTGAAAATTGGAGAGCCCCAGGCGGGCGACGAGCCGGAGGGAAGTGCGTCCAGCAATCAGCAGCGGCATGGAGTCTTCGGCCCTAAGCTGTGCAGATGTCTTTGTTGGGTTCCGGGCATAGCAGGGCTGGAGAGGTAGTCCATGGGCTTTTGCTACTTCTCAACGTTGAACCTTGAGGCCTAAACTTACTGAGCGGTCTGTATCTGATTGGGTACTTGCAGTGCTCTCAAGTCCCGGCTATGAAGACACTGCCAAATAAGCAGCAAGCCTTGGATATTTCTAGGCTTTG